TCCACAGGCACCTACGTCGACGAGGTTCCCCCTCCTGGGGCGAACATCGTCAGTGGCATGTGGACTTTCAGGGTGAAGCGGCTGCCGGGTTCTCCGCCTGTCTTCAAGGCGCGTTACGTGGCTCGAGGCTTCAGTCAGCGGCAGGGAGTTGACTACTTTCAGACCTTCTCTCCCACCCCGAAGATGACCACTCTTCGGGTGCTGCTGCACATAGCCGCTCAACGCGACTACGAGCTTCACTCTCTTGACTTCAGCACAGCTTTCTTGCAGGGCAGCCTGCACAAGGAGATCTGGCTGCGCCGCCCACCTGGCTTCACTGGGTCGTTTCCTCCTGGTACCCAGTGGAGCCTCCGGCGGCCAGTCTACGGTCTCCGCCAGGCGCCCCGTGAGTGGCACGACACACTGAGGACTACACTTGCGGCCCTTGGGTTTGCTCCTTCTACCGCCGACCCGTCGCTGTTTCTGCGCACCGACACCTCTCTGCCGCCTTTCTACATCCTCGTGTACGTCGACGACTTGGTCTTTGCCACTGCTGACACTGCTGGACTCGCCCACGTGAAGTCCGAGCTGCAGAAGAGACACATGTGCACAGACCTGGGTGAACTGCGCAGCTACCTTGGCTTGCAGATCACCCGGGACAGAGCACAGCGCACCATTACCCTGACTCAGTCACACATGGTGCAGCAGGTCCTTCAGCGCTTCGACTTCACGTACTCCTCGCCTCAGGCCACTCCTCTGTCTACTCGCCACTCGCTCTCAGCTCTGCCTTCGGATGAGTCCGTAGAGACGAGTGGCCCGTACCCAGAGCTTGTTGGCTGCCTCATGTACCTGATGACCTGCACACGACCTGACCTCGCATACCCTCTTAGCATCTTGGCACGCTATGTTGCTCCTGGGAGACACCGACGAGAGCACATGGCTGCAGCGAAGAGGGTGTTGCGTTACTTGTGCAGTACGTCGGGCATGGGGCTAGTGCTTGGAGGGCGGCGTTCAGTGGTCCTCACAAGTCACGCAGACGCTTCTTGGGCTGACGACCAGGCTACGCAGCGGTCGTCACAGGGTTACACCTTCAGCCTTGGTTCCGGCTCTGTTTCGTGGCCGTCTACCCGCTCGTCTTCTGTTCTCGGCTCCAGCTGTGAGGCTGAGATCTACGCGGGGGCCATGGCTGCACAGGAGCTACGCTGGCTCACCTATCTGCTGACTGACCTAGGAGAGCCGCCTCGTTCTCCTCCAGTTTAGTACGTAGACAACAAGGCCATGCTGGCCTTGTGTCGGGAGCACAGACTGGAGCACAGAACGAAGCACATTGCTCTTCGTTACTTCCTTGCTCGTGAGCTGCAGCAGCGTGGTCAGCTGCGCCTTGCTTACGTGGCCTCTGAGGCCAACACTGCTGATATCTTTACCAAGGCACTTCCGCCTTGTGATCATCAGCGGTGCTGTACGATGCTAGGTCTTGTGCCTACTTGGCCTCACTTGCTCACTTCTTGACCTTGCTTGTACTGTGATCTATCTATACTTGCACTTGCTTGTTTACTCTTATATATGATCTTGCATGTGAACTGGCCTTGTGGCCTTGAACTTGTGCTCGGAATGTGTGGTGACGTTGTGATCCACCCTGAGCTTGCTTTGCTTTGCTTGACTGGTCTTGTGACCCCTTGTTCTCCCCCACTTTGCCTATGGGGGTGTGTCAGATTTATATGACTTAGCCTGTGTAGGCTATAGTGGGGCAGCACATATGGGGTACAATGTTTCTAGGGTTTGTACTTGTACCCAACCTCCCACTAGTCAATCATTCCTCGTTTCTTCACACTGCCGACCCGTCGCTGCTTCTGCGCACCGACACCTCTTTGCCGCCGTTCTACATCCTCGTGTACGTCGACGATTTGGTCTTTGCCACTGCTGACACTGCTGGACTCGCCCACGTGAAGTCCGAGCTGCAGAAGAGACACACGTGCACAGACCTGGGTGAACTGCGCAGCTACCTTGGCTTGCAGATCACCCGAGACAGTGCACAGCGCACCATTACCCTGACTCAGTCGCACATGGTGCATGTCACAGGATCGAATTTCCACTCGAGAATGTTGCACTAAAGGTGAGTACAAGGCGTATTTATACTCGGAAATACATAGAAACAACAGATAATCCGAACCTTTGGGAACGCGCTCTTCTGGAATAGATAATCACAAGTGCGCATAAGCACGCAAGCCCATTGGCACTTCGGATTATGGCGAGATTACGCCTTGTACACCACTGTCGGTGCTGTCGGTGCCGTATAATGTAAATGTCGGTGCCGAAAATACCAAATAAGTGAAATAATCAGAAAGCTCTAGAAAATAGAATAGTAGTCCAATTGAGGTGAAATAAAGTGCAAATGAAAGAGGAAAATAAGGAGAATAAGATGGAGTAAAAATATGGAAATGAGAAATATGTCGAACGTCGGCGTACTCTCACAGTGCAGCAGGTCCTTCAGCGCTTCGACTTCACGTACTCCTCGCCTGAGGCCACTCCTCTGTCTACTCGCCACTCGCTCTCAGCTCTGCCTTCGGATGAGTCCGTAGAGCCGAGTGGCCCGTACCCAGAGCTTGTTGGCTGCCTCATGTACCTGATGACCTGCACACGACCTGACCTTGCATACCCTCTTAGCATCTTGGCACACTATGTTGCTCCTGGGAGACACCGACGAGAGCACATGGCTGCAGCGAAGAGGGTGTTGCGCTACTTGTGCAGTACATCGGGCATGGGGCTAGTGCTTGGAGGGCGGCGTTCAGTGGTCTTCACAGGTCACGCAGACGCTTCTTGGGCTGACGACCAGGCTAAGCAGCGGTCGTCACAGGGTTACACCTTCAGCCTTGGTTCCGGCTCTGTTTCGTGGCGGTCTACCCGCTCGTCTGCTGTTCTCGGCTCCAGCTGTGAGGCTGAGATCTACGCGGGGGCCATGGCTGCACAGGTTCTACGCTGGCTCACCTACCTGCTGACTGACCTAGGAGAGCCGCCTCGTTCTCCTCCAGTTCTGTACGTAGACAACAAGGCCATGCTGGCCTTGTGTCGGGAGCACAGACTGGAGCACAGAACGAAGCACATTGCTCTTCGCTACTTCCTTGCTCGTGAGCTGCAGCAGCGTGGTCAGCTGCGCCTTGCTTACGTGGCCTCTGAGGCCAACACTGCTGATATCTTTACCAAGGCACTTCCGCCTTGTGATCATCAGCGCTGCTGTACGATGCTAGGTCTTGTGCCTACTTGGCCTCACTTGCTCACTTCTTGACCTTGCTTGTACTGTGATCTTTCTATACCTGCACTTGCTTGTTTACCTTCATATATGATCTTGCATGTGAACTGGCCTTTTGGCCTTGAACTTGTGCTCGGAATGTGTGGTGACGTTGTGATCCACCCTGAGCTTGCTTTGCTTTGCTTGACTGGTCTTGTGACCTCTTGTTCTCCCCCACTTTGCCTATGGGGGTGTGTCAAACTTATATGCTATAGTCTGTGTAGGCTTTAGTGGAGTAGACAATATGGGGTACAACACATTTAGGTTTTCCTACTTGTGCCCACTTGTTTTCCTAGTGCATTCATTCCTCGTTCTTTCACAGAAACCGCTATGAGAGGAACTGACAGCACAATCAAAACTCGAATATGTGGTAAGGGGGTACGTATCTTGGCTAGTTGGCTTCGGTTGGTTCGCGCTGCTAGAAGGGCATGTTGCCGGCGTTGCGGAAGCTAGATTGTAGAAAGAGCAAAACTGGAAGACTTGTACCGAAAATGGTTGAAGCGGAATGAGAGAAATGGAATTGATTGATTGTGAAACCACACAGCAGGGAATTTATCCTGTCAGCTACCCTGCCCATACCCATCCATGCACACCAATAATTGTGCCACCAATAATGGTGACTCCAATACAGGAATACCAATAATTCTACCCCCAGACCTCTAGACTCCAATAATTCTAGCCCTACAATAATTGTACAATTATTGTAGGCCCTGAAGTCTTATAAGGAGGACTACAGTAAAATCTAGCAGCATAAATGTTTCGTTATATGTTATATTTCTCAACACTCCCCCTTGCTGTAGATTTTACCGAAGCTGGTTTTGGAGGGATTGCTGTAAACGGCGTTGATTGCGGAGTGAACTAGGGTCACGGCGTTGATTTCGGAGTCACCTTGGGTGATGGCAGCGTTGATCACGGCGAACCGAACGTAGTCGAATAGTTCCGTTGGGATCGCGGCGGACAGTGGGGTTTTTTGTCGTGTTTGGAATTTCCGTGCAACTGGCGATTGCTGTACTGCACGTTCCGACGCGCAGGTGGTCCCTTCGAACGATCCCTCACACCAAACGCTGCTGCTCCTGCTTCAGTTCCGCACATCCCTCTCAACGGGGTCTCTCCCAAGTGCGTCATTTTCGCTCTCCAAACCTCGTCTCTTCCGATCGAGTGTTGCTGCTCCTTCCTCCTGCTCGCGAGTTGTTACTTCCTGTCCGATCTGCCTTCCCAGCCGTGTCAACTCCTCCCATCGCAGCCATGGCTGCTGCTGCAGCTTGGAACGTATTAGGTTTTTCATGGCGCAATTTCCATTTTGTCGACCTGCAATTGCAGATCGTCATTCAGCAGCTCCTGCCCCGTCCTTAAGCGCGATGTCCTGCAGCTCTAGCTAGCTGCAGGTCGTCACTAGCGCTTGCCATGTCGCGGCTGGCGTTCGTGGACAGCAGCGCACGTGACCACCTGCAGCGCCGAATGCGCATTTTTTGCGGCTGCGGCCAGATCCGCGACTGCTGCTGCTGTCGCGTTACTCCTTCCTCTGTCGCGCGGCTGCAGTAACCTCCTCGCTTGACGACCTGCGCGCTGCAGCTCCTTGCGCGTGACTGCTGTTCATGGCGCGCTGCGACATCGACGCCTGTGACGGTCGGCAGCAGCGCTTGGCGCACGACTGCAGCAGCATGCGCGCTGCTGCATTATATCGCATGTGGCGGCTTCTGCTGGTGCGCGCCCTCCCCTTGCCATTTCGGACGACATGGCGCTCCTGCAGTGCCTCGCGCATGACGCTGCTGCCCTCGTCGCGCGGCTGTCTCTCCTGCTGACGCCCACGACCGCAGCGACGGCTGCACCTGTGGCGAGCTGCAGCACCTGTGGCGCACGGCAGCTGCGTACCCGCCCACACACCGCAGTAACTCCTGGCGTCCGGCTTTCTCCTTCCTGCCGAGGTGAGAATGCTTAGTCAAACCAGACTGCTTCACCCATGTTACCTTGTTACCCTGTGATGTTACCTTGTGCTGCTCCCCTTGACCTTTTGCTGCTCCATGTTGCCTTGTGCTACTCCCTCTATACCAGGTGACGTACGGGAGCAGCTGCAACTGGTACACAAGCACCTGGCGGCTGCTCATGCACTTGGCGGCTGCTCTTGCTCCTGGCGGCTGCTTCTGCTCCTGGCGGCTGCTCTTGCTCCTGGCGGCTGCTTTTGCTCCTGGCGGCTGCTTCTGCTCCTGGCGGCTGCTTCTGCACCTGGCGGCTGCTGCAGCAAACGTCTGCCGGTAGCACCACCTGAATGATGGCAGCAGCAACACCTGGTCTCCTGCAGCTGCTCCCCCTTACGCCCTGCAGCACCCCTGAAGCCCTGCAGCACCGGGCCTGCAGCAGCTCTCCCTGATGCGCTGGCCGCTTGCACTGGTGCAGCTCCAGCACTGGGTGGCAGCGGTATCAGCAGCACCTGTGTCACCTGGGTGAGTGCTCCCGTCAATGCCTGACTCCAGCTGTCTTCCCTTGTATTTAGTAAGCCTTTGTCCTCTTCTTGTGATTCCCTTTGCCTGTTTGCCTTTTGTCTTGGACAATGTTCTTGACTCATGCTGTCTTGATTCTTCTCCCCCTGAAACCAGCAGGCATGTGAAGTCTTGAGGAACGGCCGCTGCAGTTGGCGAGTGGTTGTGACCAACCAGCAGCAACGACTGTCCAGCAGAAGATCTGATGGCTGCTCTTGTTACTGAGTGCAGTAGGTCTTCTCATAATGTTGTGCTGACTCTTGTGATGATGAAAATGAAAAGATGGTTGTGAGATGAAATCCTGATTTGTTGCACCCCAAGATACTCCACACCCCACTCCCCCTCGCACTCGTGTGTTTGTAGGCATGCACATGCGTGAGCACGCACACATCACCAAACACACGAGTGAGATGTGTGGAGTTACGTGATGCTTTGGTGTCCAGCACTTCTTGAGAAGCCCGGACGTGAGAGTGCAGCTCCAGCAGCTTCAATGTGAGTACTGGGTGACGGTGCGCCATGTGGAACTGGCTGGAGACCGCACAAGAGGCTGCAGGTGAGATGTTGCTTTGCTGTGAGGGGGCTTGGTGAGATAATCCGCAGCTTGCTGAGCTGTTGGGCAGTACTCCGGCCGCACAACTCCATCACGAATGGCCTTCCTCGTCCAATGGTAACGGACGTCCATGTGTTTGATGCGTTGACTCATCTGCTCCCCGGTGGCAAGTGCAATTGCGCTTTGGTTATCCATGAAGATGACGGTAGGTTCGTGCTGTCGAAAACCGAGGTCTTCACACAAGCGGCGAAGGTATGTAGCTTCCCGTGCCCCTTCAAACAGCGCAATGTATTCTGCTTCAACAGTTGATGTGGCAATGACCGTCTGACGTTTAGTCCTCCAACTGACAGCAGCTCCTCCCAAGGTAAACACGTAGCCTCCAACGGAGTGACGCCCTGCTTCGTTCGCGTAATCCGAGTCCGTGTATCCGCGGAGCACCAAGTCCCCTCCTCCATAAACTAGCCCCATGTCTAGTAGTTGAACACCCTGTGGATTCCAAGCACTGTTGTTGCCGTTGGTTTGTTTGCTTAGCTGGCCAGCACATGAGCTGCATAGGTTATGTCCGGCCTCCCTGCTGTTGAGATGTACAGCAATGTTCCAACCTATTTCAGCACCAACTGACCATCAATGTCGTCCGGTGGTTCTCCTTGTGGTCCAGGTTCCTTGCTGATCGGTGTTCGAACTTCGGAACGGTTGCCTTCCATCCCGAAGGTCGCCAAAGCCTGTGAGAAATACTTTGTGAGTCCGAGCGAGATCGAGTCCTTGTCCGCGGCGACGTTGAGCCCCAAAAATTGCGTCATGGTCTTGCTGACCGTCAAGGTAAAGTTCCGCTTCAAGTGTTGAATCACAGCGTCAATGCCTTCTGCGTCATGAGACTGGATGAGGATGTCGTCAACGTAGGTGAGTAGCCACACCGTGTCCTTTCCGTCTCGTTTCCAGATAAACAGAGATGGGTCTGATTCGGATTGCACCATGTCCAGCTCCAATAAGACACCCCGTAAGTGTTGATGCCACAGGCGTGGTGCTTGTTTCAGCCCATATACACTTCTTTTGAGTTTCCAGACTTTGTCTCCATCCCGCCTTGGTTCTGGTGGTCTCACGTATATGTCCCGGTCAATCGGAGTGTACTGGAATGCATTGGAGATGTCCAGCTGCACCACTTTCCGCTTTGTAGCAGATGCACCAGCAACGAACACGCAAGAGGTAGGGCCTTGGCTGACCGGTGCATACGTCCCATCGTATGTCCCCCAAGTCTGTCCGCATCCCTTGACCACCCAGCGCGCTTTGAACCGGTTTGGCTGCCCGTGCTCATCTCGTTTCACCCGTAAAACGACTCCTTCCGTCAGCACAGGTGTTCCTTTTGGTACGTCCGCTCTGTCCACCACTTCGTATGCGTCCAGCTCATCGAACTTGGCCAATTCTGCATCCACAGCGGCTTGCCAAAGAGGTGCGTACGGGTCCTTGGTCATTTCTTGAAGTGTTTTTGGCTCTTTGTATGTCAGCTCCACCATGGGGACGCTGGTTGCTGCACATCCCAGTACGTTCTGCTGCTGCAAGTTGGGAAATCGTGTGAATGTTTGTCCTGCCTGCCGCCTCCCAAACAGTACGTCCAGTCCTGTCATGTTGTCCGTCCTTTGTCCGTCACCGTTGGGTTGAAGTGAACCCGCCGTGGTGGCATGTCAGGAGCAGCCAGCGGGATCCCATCGGGTGGGTAGGCATAGTCGTAGAGATGACTTGCTTCAGTTTCTGGTCCGTTGTTGTCAATACCCTCACCAACAGAGATGCTTGCCGCTGGTAAGTCATTCTTTGCGGTCTCTTCTCCTGTATCGGCTTCATTAGCTGCTGGTGGGTCTTCTTAAGCTGCGTCATGTGCCTTAGTTCCATGTTGTTCTGCTGTAGCGACGTCAGAAGATGATGGGGAGGAAGTGTGAGATGCGGGAAAAGAGTCGAATGCTGACCCAACGTCGGTTCCCCCTGAAGTCCACTCCGAGATATGAGGTGAGACTTCATCCATGTACCGTTGGCGTTCGAGCACAGACTCGGCGTCCGGGAGCATGAGGTCGTCAAAGAAACGAGCTGGGCGTGTGTCTGTGTCAACGTCGCTTGCCAAGTCCCGCATGATCCATGCTTTTCGTGAGTTAGAGAGGCCAAGAAACATGCCTGCCCGTCGTCGTTGCTCAAATTTCCCAAAGCTACCTTGGGGAGGGAGATAGTAGCAGAGGCATCCGAAAGTCCTGGCCATGGAGACATCTGCTGCCTTTCCCGTCATCATGAAGTATGGTGAGTGTGCGGATGGGTTGCTGCTGCAGCTGATGCGGTTGTGTAACCATGCTGCATATTTCAGCGCATAAGGCCAGAACTTAGAGGAAAGGCTGGCCCCGGTAGTCATTGCACGCACTCGGTCCATGAGCGTTCGGTTAACCCGCTCGGCGACTCCATTTTGCTACGACGTGTGTGGTAAAGACGTTTGGTGACTGATGTCGTGAGCACTCAGATAATCCGTGAATGCATTGGCTGTATACTCCCCTCCATTGTCCGTGCGTAAGGCAGCCAGCGGTTTCGTGGGCAACTTGGTCTTCATTTCGCGACGCCAAGCCGAGAAAACAGCTGCCATGTCGGATCGGCGAGCCAACGGCGCCACCCACAGGTAGTTGGTGTAGTCGTCCTTGAGTGTCAGCACGTAGCGAAGTGAGGGGTGAGCGTCACCCAAGTCCATGATGTCGCTATGCACGAGCTACAAAGGTCGAGTTGTGCGCTTGTCACCACCTGTGGGAAATGGGGCCTTACTCATCTTCCCTCGAAGACATGAGTCACACGGGGGTTTGAGGGGGTTTGTCTTGTCGGATATGGAGAGTCCTTCAACATCTCCATTGCGGAATGTTGCGTCCATGGATGTGTATGATGGGTGACCCAAGCGCTTGTGGGCCATGCGATATGTGATGGATGCATGAGCAGATTGCACATTCAGCCCTCCAAGGTCAGCCTCATTCAATGCTTCATTCGGATGATCATGACCAGATGCATGGACGGATGTAAGTGCAGGCTCATATTGCACCATTAGCACCCCATGCGTGACCATTCCAACTCCAATGAGTACATGCTCATCCCCATCCGCCATTGTGATCTCCGTGTGCCCATCCTCACGTGTGTGAATGCGAGCTCCCTTCTTGTACAGTTGGCAATAGGAGAGCAGGTTGGACTTCAAGCCGGGTACGTAGAGTACGTCCGTGTAGCGCACTGTTGTTCCGTTGGGTGCCGTTGCTCGGATTGTTCCCGCCATCGAGCTTAACAGGTGGCTTCCGTCAGCAAGCTCCACGTAAACAGGTTCGTTCAGCTCTTCTAGACCCTCAAACCACTCCCTTTCTGAAGTCATGTGTTGGCTGCATCCACTGTCCAGCAACCACATCGACCCTCCGGTTGACGGTAATGTTGCTTGTGACGATCGAACCGTTGCAATGCATGTAACGGTTCGTTTGTTGTCTCCCCCGGCTGCTCTTTGCTGTTTCGACGCTTGGCTGTCACGTTTCGGGCTTTCACTCCTTCGAGGCGAGGACGAACGGCTACTCCAATTGCGCTGGTTTGTCCTCCCTCTGTTTTGTGGTTCCCAACCTGGTGGTGACCAACCCGGAGGCGCCTTAGGACACTTGTAGAACGGGTGGCCAGGTTCCTTGCAGTACCAACACACAAGGTTTGAGCGCCCTCCCCTTCCTTCGTTGCCTTTGGATTTTTCCCCCACCGTCGCATGCTGTCCTCCTGTTGCCGCATTTTGGTTGCCCTTTGTCTCGGTCCTCCTCTTTTGCTGGTGAAGTATCTCCACGTGCTTGACCAGCCATACGGGGAGGACGTTTGTCACGGTTGGTCTTGCTGATGAGGTCTTGGTAGCGTTGTTCCTGAATCATCATTCGTTGCAGTGTGTAGCTGTCCGAGATGTCATGTAGCATTGCCGAATGCCTTAGCTCCTCCCAATGCGGCGGAAGCCCGGTAATTAGGTTTAAGGTGAATGAATCTTCGTCCACCATTTTTCCTGTCATTGCCAACTTGTCCCGAATTGCAGTTGCCCGGTTGATGTATTCCTCCACCCTTTCTTGGCTCCCCATCTTCAGGTTGTCCAATTGCCTTTGGAGAGACGCCTTTGCCACCGAATCCTTCGCCTGGTAAGTCTCCATCAGGTACTCCCATGCTTCGAATGCCGGACTGTATGACTCTTGGAACACGACCAGTTGTAGTTGAATCGTTGCGCTCACGCTATGTAGAAGCACCCAAAACGCCAGCGTAGCACGTTGTGAGTAATCTGCTTGCAGAGCTTCCAGCTGTTCCATTGCATCTCGCATTTCTCCATTTGCCATTGTCACTGGGTATTGTAGTGTCACGAAAAACTCCCACAGATTTGTCACGCGCGCATTCATGCGAAATCGAAGAGCCCACTCTCGAAAGTTAGTGCCGTTGAACGGGGTTGTTGTGAACGCCTTGTCCACCGTTGCTCCCACCATTTTGCGTGACAACCTGTCTTTATCTTCTTCGGTGTACTCGCGAGGAGACGGGTCGAAGAGCGTAGGCACGGTAGATGGTCGAGGTAGTTGCACCGT